CCGAGGAGTTTGCACATTCGCTTAGGAATCGAGATGTCTGCTGTTCAATTCCCAGTTAAGGTAACTATTTTTTTGTTTAACTAAAAAAAAACCTTGAATTGAATATCAGTGTTGCAATTAGTCTTATAGCCAATTTACTACAGTTAAAACACCGGAAAGCATTGGTGGCACTATACAAAAACAAATGGTTTATAATCCAACAATCTTCACCTTTCTGACATTCTGAGACCCAAACAAATTCAGCGCCTTCTGTGCTTTGTTTATTTTATATTTTCCGTTTAAAACTGCCATTCGGTATTTTAGGCACTGCTCCCATTAATTCTGGTTCCCTGTCCTATTATGGTTCCCATACAAGTGCGCAGGCGACAAGTGTACGCATCCGTCTTCAATCAGAATTCCTCGGCTTTTATCGTTATCTTGTAATATGGAAAGTTGCGATGTGTCAATTTCCCATAATTTTGTAATACTATCGGCGAAAGTTTTTCAAACTATCACTATCTAGCAGGTACACGCGTTACCGTAAAGCTCGGAACAGTAAAGTTGGTCTTTTCTTAAAACAAGAGAGTCATGATGGCCCTATAATCGCTCACCTGAATATAGAAACACTCCATGACAAGGAAAAAGTAATATTGTAAACTTTAAACAAAAGCAGATATAAAAATTTAGTCTTAAACTGATATCACAAAGTTTATATTTGTATCTGAAATAGTGCATTTGTAAAAACATTACTGGTTGCTATTGCTAAGTGAAAACAACAGTTCCAAAAGATGTGTACATATAAGGAAAATCAATGCTTTTATTTGAACAATATTGGTAGACACTCAATAGAAGATGTTTATTGCCTAATATTTTAAACTCTAGCTCTTTAGTGTTTTTTAAAGAAGATTTTTTTCAAGTTTTTACAATATACATATAAGGTAAATCAATAAATCATTTTGGCGGGCCAATTTTGAACCCAGGGCTCTTATTAGAACAGACTTGGTAAACACCCATAAGAAGATTGTTCATGCGTAATATCTAAGCTCTAGATCTTTGTGGCTTTTTTAAAAATGATATTTAGAGCTTTTACTATTCATTTATTAGGACAATCAATGACCGACGGGACAGGGCCAATTTTGACTTCAGGGCTTTTATTTAAACTTGGTAGACACCTACAAGAAGATGTTTCATGCTAAATATATTAGCTCTAGCTCTTCGGGTTTTTTAAAAGAAGATTTTTTTAAATTCTATATACATAAAAAGGAAAACCAACAGCCCCTTGGGGCGGGGCCAATTTTGACCCAAGGGCTTTTAATTGCACAAACTTGGTAGACACTCACAAGAAGATGTTTCATGCTTATTATCTAAGCTCAAACTTTTTTATGTTTTTTTTTAAAGACGATTTTTAAGTTTTTACTATAAACATATATGTCAAAACAATGATCCCCAGGGCGGGCCATTTTGGGGTTTTATTTGAACCATTAGAAGATGCTTCATGCTTAATATATCAGCTCTAGCTCTTTGGGTTTTTCAAAAGAATATATTTAAGTTTTTGACAATATACATATAAGGAAAATTAACAGTTCCCTGGGATGGAGCCAATTTTAACCCAGGGCTTTTATTTAATAAAACTTGGTAGACACTCACTAGAAGATGTTTCATGCTTTATATCTAAGCTCTAGCTATTTGGATAATTTAAAAGAATATTTTTAATTTTTACTATATACATATTAGAAAAATCGATGACCAACGGGACGAGGCAAATTTTGACCCCAGGGCTTTTATTTGAACAAACTTGGTAGACACTTGCTAGAAGATGTTTCATGCAAAATATCTAAGCTCTAGCTCGTTGGTTATTCTTTTTAATTTTTTAAGTTTTTTCTTTTGGTTGCCATGACAACCAGAGTTCTGCATGGACATAATTTCTTTGAACAACATCTCTGTGAAATTTGGATAAAATAGGCTCAGTTGTTTATGAGGAGATGTCGTTTCAGTAAAAATTCACGGCACGAATTGTGATCAAAAAAGCACACCTTGTCACTTTGTAACAGGTGTGCTTATTAAACTGCCAGCTTTTCATGACACAACATATATTGTAACCACTTATAGTTTGTAGATAGATAAAAAAAATATTATAATCGCATAGCTGAATAAAATCTGAGGCTCGCATTATATATTATTATTAAACTCGTTCCTTTATTCAGCATTGAACATACACTTATTTAAAATCCTTTATGTATTTTTTCTAACATTTTTCTTCTTGCTTTCACTTTTCCATATCCTCTGGCACATTTAAGTTCCTTTTTGTTAAGAAACATTTCTAAATATCCTATTGTAGCAGCAAAAAAGTGATTACATATTAAATTCTATATTTCTAATTTCAAATAATGATAAACAAATAAGTTTGAATAGTTTCAAAATACTATCAAAATATTTTGATGAGAATATAAAACACGTCTACGGAAAAGAATACATTTTAAGTAAAATGATCATTTTGAATACAGTAGTTTATCGCGTGCGTGCGTAACTTGATTGAGAAGGGATCAGGAATAAGAAATACGGACATTTAACAAAATAAAAATAATTAAGCTAAACCGTTTGCTATGACATTAGTTTTCAAAACATTTTGTTGTTATCAAATGAATAGTCTTTACCTTTATACCCTATTGATTATATCAAATAGAATAAGTATTACATTAATTAATTTTTAAAACATCCATTGAGCAAACTTACTTTTCTTTACTACGTAGGTAACTTAAATATACAGCTGCTGTAAGAATCAACAAGTCAACAAGAAGTACTGCAACCACAAAAACAGTATTACTTCTTTCTTCATCTGTAAAAACAATATTAAATCGTTTCCCTTGCCTTGTGTTAAACGGTCTTCAAGTATTGTTATATGCGTTTTAACTGCCAACTCAAGCATTATTTAATATTATAAAGGGCATGATTCGTAATTTGAGTAGCTAGTTTGTATGCTATTTATCTTGGGTAAGTCCACCTAATCGGATTTCCTGAATAACTTAACAATGTATCCGCAAGAGATCGAATACTAGTGAGCTAGACAAATGGCCATTGCACTCAACGTTCGAGATCTGTTCGAGATCTATTGTCATGGAGAATTTTGCCTCCTCGAAAATCAAACCAGCGGCGTCTGGATTTCAAATCCTATGCTCTCCCTATTTATCTAAGCTTGCGGCCATCGATACTTGAATGAAACATGATTTCTTCTAGTAATGGTACTTCAGTCAAAGTACGATTAAAATATTTGCAAGTAAATTGTTGCGATTAACTAATATTTTTTGTAGTTTAACTGATAAAAGGGCAGTTTTCACAACATAAATTAATTAAACATTTTCTCAACTTTGAGACAAGAGCCTTGTTCAATCATTATAGTTCTTTACGATACTCAACGACATCAATTATTAAACAAAAAAAGACTTGAATTGCACAACAATCTATAGGAAGTCAATATTACCTTCAATAATATCTTCAAGCATGTATCTTCCAACGGTATAATATGACTCTTTTTGTTCGTTACCATAATCCGCAACAATTTTCAGAAAGTAATTTCCATTGTTACTAGCCTTGGCGGAAATAACCTCGGAGTACTGCATTTGTTGATCATTGCCGCAATCCGAATCATTGAAACAACTTGTTATACTTGCGTTTTGAATTGTGGGGGTGATTTCTGTCTCGTGCTCGCTACGTGCCTACAATGAATGAACGATTTTACATGACTGTCCTGAATATCTGTTACATAATTATGATAGTTTTTCATATGGATATTCACTTAATTTTGCAATAAAAAAACTATATAAATCCTTAGCCTACTTGCGACAATTGATTTCACCAACTCGTCCAGTACGGACTACGATCAGTCGGCACATTCGTGCTTTCTGATTACACATTATCAAAACATAAATGCATAGAGTGAGATACTACTTACTATTACAGAAATTGATGTCTCCAACAAATTTTAATTTGAAGCCAATAGAACTTTAGACATTCCACACGTGCCAAAATAGATCATTCAAACATACCGTTATAAAACTAGCCATAATCACGAGCATTTGACATTTGTAGGGTAATGTTCAAAAAGAAAGAGCAGCATTCTAACAACACACAATACCCATCTCTATCCGACCCTCCGGTATCCAGTTGTGCAGAGCATCCGGGAAAAGGGCATTAAACGGTCAAACTTAAGATACTCTGAAGGTCGCCTACCATGGCCAAATTTAAAATACTTTAGGCTAAACTTTATAAAGTTCATCGATGCATATTTTTAAATGGCTTTACAAGAACAAGATAACTGAAATAACGAGGGTCCAAAAAGAAGAAACTTATTGTTTTTCATGATTTACCTGTTAACTTATACAACTTAAAGTTTTCATTGAAATATAACAATCGTATTACTATCTAAACAGTCATCGATGACATAGTAAATTTAGAATTGCACTAACTCTTTGTTGTGTAATAGAACTAAGTTTTTGTAAATTCAAATATTTCAATTTTAGAAAACATTCAAATTCGAGATGTACTTAATACACCTGCATTTTGACAGGCAACACTTGTTTTTCTCTAAGGGGTAGATACTATATTTATAGTAAGTTTTATTCTGTCTAATGATAATGTATATAAATTTAACTTCACATTTCATCCTTTATGGAACAGGAAATATTCATTTAACTAAGTAACTGGTCATTTAAATATGTAACTACAGAGGTAATCGGGCATATTTGCCTAGATAGAAAGCTTCACTTTCACTTAGTCAATACGATTTGGAATATTTCGTACTCGTTCGCTTTCCATTCAAGTTCTGGCAATCCACGCTTATAAGATAAAAGTGTTAAAGTTATCTACGTATGAACATTTGATATTATTTATTGATGTGATAAATTGATAAACATATATTAAGCTATATGTATAAACATAATTCGTATTCATTAAATGTGTTGACTTTTATTAACACTTATTTTGTTCTTGATTGAGATTTCGCTTAGATGGGTGTACTACACTACAGCTTACTGTTAACTTGTCAATTCTTAGTAAATCGGATCCATTCTGTTAACGTAGAATATACCATCCCAGATAAAGTTGTCACAATCACGGATGATGAATATAAACTACATAAAAAACTCTGACGTCAATATTGACATTGAAATATTATGATATGAGGAGGAACATACACATATCTTTATCCATTTAAACGAAACATTAGCGTCATTGGAAATACAGCCAGAGATAGCCTGTATGGTCCCATTTGTTGTATTTTCTAAAAGCAGAGGCTCGTTATCTGTAACAAATATCAAACACATTCAGACATTGAAAGGATCATATCAAAAGTAAACTAATTTCATTATAATACTAGCTTATTAATTAATATGTCTAAGAATCATAGTTACTATTCATGCTACTGGTACAATATATCATCTTTTCAACAATTTTGTATTTAATTTGACTGGCGATGTAAATAATCTAATTGAAGCAATACAGTCGATCTTAAAATTGCTTAAACAAGGCTTTACAACTTAACAAAAACTGTTAGTAATCATATGTGTATAACTCAGCAAAAAAATCATTCATCCTAAAAACCTACAGTGCAATATGCACAAGAATTTGAGCTATCGATCAATTTGAAATTGAATTAATGGTATAAGAGGAGTAGTCCGGACACCCTTTTCATTTAAGGGCCATAACTCAGCCATAAATTATTCAAGCAGATAACCAGTGTAATATGCGCAAATACTTGACCTACCAATCAATTCTGAGAAGTTTCACTGAAATTACATTAGTGGTATAAGAGGAGTTGTTCGGACAAACTTTAAGAAATAAAAATAATTAAAGGGACATAAGACATAACTGCAACAAAATAAATTGAATCATAAAAAGCCAATACTATACACAACTAGACTTGGTACTAATCATTTCAGTAAAGTTTGGATGAAAATGCACCAGTAGTTTTTGAGAAGAAGTCGAGACAAGCTTTCGATAACTGCAACACACACAGAATACTTTTTTTATTGAAGGGCCATAACTCAGCCAAACACCCGAAAAATATGCGTAAGGACTTGAGCTATAGATCAATCCTGTGAAGCTTCATTAAAATTGCATGAGTGTTAAAAGAGGAGTAGTCCGGACAAACTTTAAAAATTAAAATTATTATAGAGCTCGAACAAAAATCATTGAACCAAATTGTGCTGACAACCTGAACAACTAGACTTGGTACTAATCATTCCTGTAAAATTTGGATGTAATTGCACCAGTTGTTTATAAAAAGTAGTTCGAAAGAATTTTGTGACGGACTGACAAAAGAACAGACAGACGGTAAAAAAGTAAAATCAAACTATTTATGCTATAAAAAAACTGAAGAAACTTCTGCATAACCCTTGTTTACGTCACACAGATAAAAAAATGATTTCACAGGTTCTTTATTCATACATATCAACTGCATTTCATTAAAATCCTTGACATTTATAATAAAAAAAAATGTAAAACGTTCTAAGGAGAAGAATTCTATAAGACTTGTCTTTCATTCTCATCCTTTTCCTTAGTGTAAAAATATTTTGTTTGTTATGTATTTGTATGTACATTATATATACTTTTTGCATTATATATATATACAGTTGCATTTTCTCCCTATTAAGGTTTTAAATTTCAATTTTAGTCACGTTTATAAGTAACCGAGTTACGTAATCAGGCACAGATCTCATACATAAATATATAAGGAAAAAGATAAATAAGTATGTAATTTTTCATAAAAATGTATGTGCGCGTACGTGCGTGTGTGCGTGCGTGAGTGTGTGTCTAATGACAAAACTAACGCACGTAGATAAGCGAATATTCTTATTAATAATGAATGAGAAAAAGAGACTGTTGTGTAAATAAAAAGGTTATGCTCACCTTTGACCCTTATAAGCTGTGAATCAGTACTGGTTCCATCTGAACACACCAACTTTCTTCCATTGTCTTTCAAGGTTAACTTAATAATTGTCAAGTTGAAGATGTGATTTGTCTCATCGTATGATATATTGTATTGATCAATGTATTTCGGGTTAATGTCACATCTGTTACGTACACACTGAGCAATCGGTGAAATGTCGTTTAGATTCATCCAAGCAATGGCAAATGTTTTATTCTTGAACTTGCAAGGTAATGTTAGATCTCTGCCACATTCACATGAATTTTCATTAGCAAGGCTGTCTGGTACCAATATATCAACATTTGAACCTGAATTTAAACAACAACATATCATAGATATATCAATGTGTAAGGAGGAAAGTCATAAACGTGAACAATATACATAAAGCAAGCGTATAAAGATACTTTATTAAGTGAATGATAAAATAAAGCAAATGGAAAAAAGTTATCGTTTATTTAATCATTATTAAATTTAAAAAAAACACCAATGCCAAGAAAAATAGCCAGGGGAACGGAATGTACAGTTTGAAATTGAAAAACAACTTTCAATTTTGATCCCTAATCCGAAAGAATTTTAGATATTCCTTTTAAAAAGATGTTTTTTAAAAATAGTATAGTCTTTACCAAAATATATATAAATAAAGGCAGCATTGCAAATCACACATTAATTTTGGTACATCGACTTATAAAGATAATTTCAAGCGCGTCACTGGTGAGTAGTCCGTTCTTGACAAATTTTATTTTGTATACATGTTTACTTGAAAACTTAACATTACACAAAGAGGTATTAAATCATCTAAAAGGTATATCGTAAACAGCCTTAGAAAGTCATCTCAACAGATTTCAAAATTTTATCAGTCTACGAGAGGGGACACACCTCCCACCAAACCCGTTCACATGCATTAAATTTATTCTTTATTCAATAAACACAACTAAAACACACGAGCAAAAGTAGTATAAAAATATGAAAGAAGTTAGTTCAATATATCAGACGATACATGCTTGTTATAGTTTATGTCGGTCAAGCCTGAAGTCTAATAGTTATTGCTCATAAACGCATAGAGCATCATAAATTTTTTTTTAAAAATGTCAAGTGTCTTGTCTTTCAAGCTTTATTCAAAAGCATATCTTCTTTTCTTTCAATTTCATGCTCAATCATAAACAAAAACTCTCAAACAATGTACTTATCAATTTAGAACAAGTATTAGCATTTCCAAAAATGCTTTAATCGCCGTTCACCCATGAATATAGAAATAATATTTCATTCCTTACCAAATACCTTTATTTTGTGTGGTCAACACATAAAGCCAACAAATATACTTGATTAAATCAACCATTCCGTTCTAGACGTGCTCAGTTAGATTCTGAGATATTTTTGTTCTGGGTCAGAAAGTAGGAGATATTGCCCATAAGAAAAATATCACAATAACTAAACGCGTAGTACAATTAGTTAGACTACATGCGCTACTTAATCAGTGCATCAATCGGCAAAAATAATAAGCTTCTTTCGTAATTAACAACAGTTACTTGCTACACATTAAAAATGATGTCTGTGAATATTCTATAAATGGAATTTATAGTCTATACTCCGTCGACTGCTTTGCGATTTTTTTCTGAACTATGACTATGACTGTTCTGCTATATTTTATGGGTATGATGCAATAAAAACGCTCATAGTATTAAACTCGCCCGGAAAAAAAGCATTTATGAAGTTTTTTTTTCTTTTAGTGCCAGTTTTGGAAAAAAAATATACTCTTATTAAGACTATATTTTCTTATCAAAAATGGCATGTAGCACAAAATATTGCAACTTGCTGTGTTTATCCTGCAAGAGACTGAAGACTAGTACTCAGTTCGTACATTGATAATGGTATTTTTCAGTTGTACGAATAAGTAACCCGACAAAACATGGCGGTTGGGCGAGTCCATTTAAGCATTCCTTATTGAAGTTTTTTGACGTCCATTTTGTTATCATGTGATATTGAATTATTCGCTTTGATTGGCTAAAGGCACGCGGTGTACACGTAGAACTGTTCAAATTTTGTTAATTTTATATATCGTCGTCCAGGAACGGTGATAATAAATTTGTCTATCGGCCATACTGGTCAAGTAAGGTGCTTCACAGATTGATCCAAATTTTTGAACGGAAAAATATATTCCAACACACTGACGGTGCATGGGCAATTATTTCGTTAAAATATTCCGTTAGAATCTTCTGACTCAGTTAAACGCTTGCGTTTGAATTAGCCAATCAGATTTCGCACTGTATGGCGGCTATTTGTTTATCGGCTGTATAAGGAATTTAAAAACATCATGATTTAATCATGATTTTTCGGATTTGATAGTTTCATTATTTTGTCAAAAGGTATTTATTTTTTAGTTTTGTTCATAAATAGATCAAAATTAATGTAAACACACGCTGTCTAATTGTTTTTTCGAGCTATAAGAGACATCAATTACATTTCATCACGTATACAAGACGCTGACCCAATATTCAAAGCATGCATTTATCGCCTGTCGCATTGGTTTCTGTTGTTTTTGTCAAAATTTCCCACCGTCATGTCACCGCCCGTCCCCCATCTGTATCCGCCCGTGCAGATTAGATGTGAATAGAAAATTACCATTTACACTTTGATAGACATATCATTGTATTATAGTACAGTCTTATTATACCAACATGCTTTATGTGCGTTAGGCATTTAACAACGAACTGAACTTACTAACACAATTCGAATGAGAATTGAAATAAAAGAGTTTAGAAAAAAAACTGTTAAAGTTGTAAATTATTTTCTTTAACATTGACATAATGCACATTTAGAAATACTTATTTTTAAAGGACCTAGAGATCATGCACAAGATACTACATTTTAGATATGAACACGATAACTCATTGTTACACTAAGACATTTAAGCTGTTTTGTTACAGATCATTTTATATTATATTTTCCTTTAATACTAGTATATCTAATGTTAAGTTATGGTGAAACAAAAGAAAAATAACAAGGAAAAAACTTTTTAAACCCATCTTCATAACAATAGATACACCTGGCTATGTTTAGTTTTTTTCTGATACACGGAAGTAAATCACTATTTAAATCAGTGTACACGCTAGACTCCGTGCAATTTCTCTTATGTACTTGATGTTACTTTCATAACTATAGATTTTTAGTATAGCACAGAGCTATATTTGATATAAGTCAAAACAATAAGTCGGCGTATACTCAAAATAAGCCAAGGTACGCCTCAAATTTGGCACAAAATAAAAAGCGTGACATCAACAATATTGTACCAATCTTACACTGTATAAACTGGTACATATAGACTGTTTTAAACATTTTAACTGTTCTAACACATTAAACCATTGTACATTATCAATTTTATTGTTTTATTCAATTATTTCACATTTCTCACAGGTTGGGTACAGGAATGTGTCATCACATCTGAGAACACTTACTCCAGATAGATAATCGCACAATGAAAATAAATGGCCTCGTATACTGAATCTCATACAAACGATACACTTTTCGTCACCTGTTATTTTCTCATCAGAACTTAAGCTGTCCTCTATTGTTTTCCTTAATGTTTTTAAACCAGATGTGCTTGGCACGGGGATTTTCACTATTAATTCCCGTTTGGTGTTTTGTTGGGTTTTGTTTCTGACACATTTGATTTTGAGTTTCTGTTCTCATTGTTTTATGTTTTTTTTTCTTTTTCTTTTTTCTTTTTTTTTTGTTATCAATAATGGTCATTCTCAGATAGGCTTATCTCCTACTTCTTTGCTTAGAGTGTACCTTACATTTTCACAGCCTCCAGTTTCACGTAAGTCTTTGTGACAAGCAGCATTCCAAGTCATTTGAAAAGGACCGACGAAACAACTGATATCAAATTGCTAAGGCAGTTGAGAACACTGGGATGGCAACACAAATACATTTTTTCGGCATTTTTCCTATTCAATAAGACCCAGTGATACATGAGACGTATGTCCATCATAAAGGACTAGAATATGAGCATTTTTATCTTTAGAAGATAGATATTTTAGGAGATGATACTGCATATATTTGCAGAAGATCTGTTAGACTAACCATTGTACGTCAGGGTTCGATCAGCCCCTGGACTGGAATCATCAATCAAGTTATCTAGCAATCTTACAGCTGGGAAAACAAAGAATGATGGAATTAGTTGACCAATGGCACAAACACAGCCAATAAAGGAAATCATACAAACCTTGCCAGATATAACTGCTTTTGTTTTGTTGTATATATCAGCAACATCTTTAGGGGGTGCATGACTCAGGGTTTTTCCATTTACATGATATATCTAATGTGATTTGTCTTCAAGGTTGCATTTTACAAGAATATATTTTGTCTTGTTGCACTTTTTGCTCGAAAAATATCTAGTGCACGAGGTTTTTTATAATAAGTGTTAAGTCAGCCATCGTGCAAGGAAATTATTCAGCAGCCATTTAGCTATAAGAGATTTATTATCTTTACTTCTCAGCAAAAGATGAATAGCATATTAATCAGTTGCCAAGTTTATGGTTTCTTGTAACCAAATTTAGCCACTGTTTGTATATCACTTGCAAGTAGAGTCTCATGTTCCTCTGATAATCATATTTGAACCCCTAGCTTGACAACATCAACACAAACTATAACACAAGTGTTTGTCAGGTTGTCAGGTTAATATGAACTATATGACCCTTAAACAGATAAATATGAAAAGACATAATTATTTATAATACACTTTACAACGCAAATAAATTAGTGCATTTTCAAATAAGAACAGGAGTTTTTGTATGCCGAACTTTTTTTTTCGTAGTATTTGAAAAGACCCTGTTGTAAGGTCCTGGAAATTCTCTGACATCTATGTAATATTGGTCGGTCTTACAGTCGAAATATTGAGACTTATTGATTGTACTGGTTCAAGATATAAAATAAAACTCGGTTTAATCATGGAGGTAAATATAGAATATATATGTGTGATTTAATTTAAATGTAGACCTCTCAAAATCATTAATTCATTTCATTTTGTTTATATATTGTTCAATATTGACATGTTATTCCTGTGAATATATAGAACTATGTAATTAACTTACCAAAGACTGGACAAATCAAGAGAAAACAACAAAGTATAAACTTATCCATGTATGATATCGTACATTAAGTGTATAATAACTACAAAGCAAAATGGTGTATTCTATTTTTAGCACTTAGCTTTTTTTTTAAAATGTTTATACAATTCTTTGAGATCTCTGTGGTTGTAATATAAGTTTTCGCGATAAAAAAACGAAAGCGAAACATTTCAATCAAACGGAGAATTCAGGTCATTGTATCGCATTGTAACATGGCCAGCGATTGGCTGAAAAAGTGAAGGGAAAACCGTATGATTCAATTTATACATGAGGTATACATGATTGGATGAAAATGGGTTATTTTTAAGTATAAAAACTAATTTAGAAAGTAACACTACACTGTTTTCTGAAGAAAATGAAATATTTCATGAGTCTCTATGATAATTTTGACTTCGATATTTGCATTTATAAAAGTGTATATCAGGAAAGGGGGGGGGGGGGTAATCCTCTTTGAAGTCATTTTGCAAAAAAATGGTTGGCTACCCCTATATAACAGGAACATTTTTATGTGACAGGCATTTTATTCTGCTAGAAAAACCACCTCTTTAGCATGAAAACTCAATTTGAAGGTAAGATTAGGGACCATTTCTTATAATGTAAGTCTATGGGAATATCAATGTGAGTGTCTGACCTTCATAACTCGGCTATTATTGGAGAGATCATCTTTCTGAATAGCATTTTACTATTTCATGTTCCGATAAATAGTAACAGTGAACATTATAGCTACAATATCACCATGCACTATTATATGACCGAGTGAACCGTGTACCGAAATTTTGCTGCTCCTTAAACTTTTGAACTGGTATGACTAAATTACGCAACGGAGATTTTTTGGCGCAAATGACACAAATTTTACTCAAGTTTGATTTTTCATTAAAATATTGTGGTTGGAGGCATGCAGCTTTATATACTGTTTTATCCAATCAAATGATATAGAGGATATTTGATTAGTTCAGAGTAAGATCGGAATATATTTCACCGAGTGAGCACTGTAGGAGCACATTTGTCTCGGAGCACATTTGTCTCACGAAGTGTGACCGATGTGTTCGTAAACATTCATATTTGCGACAAATTGGAAATGAGACAGATGTGTTCGCCACACAATAGAAAGGACACTCAAAGAACATTTGTCTCACATGTTTTCCATAAAATTCTTAAAAGGTAATAATTATGTCCATCTGTATACCGGCTACAAGCCATTGTTCTGTGTTTTCTGTATTTATAATACCGTTTTGAGGTCACTCCCGGTCAGTCAAAAACTTCCTGCCTCTGTATAGGAGTCATATATTTATTAAAAATATCCCTGTTCTGCATGTAACAATGAAAATTTCTACAAGTGCAGCATCTAGAACCTAAACACATATGCAGCAATTGTGATACGTCTATTTTCAATGCTTTAAAGTTTTATAGATGATTTATGGCACTATAAATATTCTTAGCAAAAACAAGGTAGTATCTACGGTGGCATAAAGGGGACATAGAATTTCCTTATTTATTACGTGCGCCCACAATAGCTTTTCCGTGGCCATGCGATACTATTACGTGCGCACGCGATAGCTATTACGTGCCCATGCGCATATGTATTGCGCATTTGGACCCTGACCGGAATCCTCGCATGAATAGTTGGACGCCCCGTGTATGTGTCGAAACTACAATGGTTAGGGGCAAGTGGTTTTTCGAAATCACTCGGCCACGGAGGCCCTTAAATGATCCATGGAAAAAAATAAGAAGACCATTACACACGTATTTCGTTTTTATCAGAAATATATGTATAAAAAGTCGTCATTGTCCAAGAATTGCGGCTTTCAGATTCGCCATTGAAGAGGCACTTACAACAATAAGGCATAAGTTCCTAAAATAAAATCCGGGTAATGCCATAATTATGGAATATCGGGCCACTCAAAATCGGGCGAGACTCGACATTCCGATGAGACACGAGATCTAGCAATGGCTCGCAAGTATCACGTACGAAGAGATTTCAGAAAAGCATAAATTTTTATAGGGCAAGTATGAATTTATTAATATTCAAATAATGATTTCTGAGGAAGTTAGATGCTTGTAACCCAAAGAAATTCGCGATAAATGTGAAATAATGCGTCATAAAAGTAGCAAAATGTAAACAATGTAGTACTTTGACTTCAATACAAATTCTAAATCATTTCAACTGTACAAACTGCAAAAAAGCAGCAGATGAAAAATGCTTCAGATAATTAGCCAATGAGTAGCTTTTTGGAGCTAAAAAAGTATACCAAAAATACAAAGTTTTTGAGGAATACAAATAAAAGCATTTCTCAGGCATAAGTGATTTGAATGGGCCTTTAAGTGTTTTTATAAAGACTATAAAGGGAATACTACTTAGCGGTATATGACCTGGAATCAATTTCTTGTCTCGCGTCGACGAACGGGATGAGAAGCGAGACGCGAGATTTCGCGAGACGCAAGATTTCGGCGAGATGCGAAACGAGTCACGATATTGTATCATTCAATATCAACCGATGATGGTGTTCCGTTTGGACATAAGTAACATTTTTGTCTCCCTGAACAGCTATGCACAATGGTACAAAGGTGAAATTGAGATGGTACGATGGTGCGGTGATTAAAACACGATGGCGCGATGGTGAAATCACGATGATGCGATGACACGATGGTGACAATAATATCGCGGTTTCATCATCGTGCCATCGCAGTTTCATCATTGTACCATCGTATTTCCCCCCCAATCGTAGCAGCGTTTTTTCACCTTCGTACCATCATGTTTTCATCATTGTGCCTTTGTTGTTTCACCATCGTACCATCGTTGTTTCACCATCGTACAATCGTTGTTTCACGTTCGTACCATTGTGTTTCCACCATCGCACTATCGCATTTTCATCAATGTACTATCGTGCCATCGCGCTGTCACCATTGTACCATCGCGAACGGGATTCCGTATGTTTCTGTGTTCGCCTTCAGGTGTAGCCAATCAAATTTCTTGAATTAGAGATATGAGAATTAATAGTTCCACTGTAGGTTTTAAGTTTAAGATTTCATAAAAAAAACATGTGCAAACCTATTGTTCATTACATTTGACATGAGGTAAAGCGGCGAACCTCGAAAAAAATCTGCATGAGACAAATGTGCTTTCTTGTCCCTTAAAAACATAAGACAAATGTGCTTTCTTGTCCCTTAAAAAACTTGATCGGAGCACATTTGACACACAAATGAGTTTTTATTGGGTAGACATTTGAGGTCCCATTTGTCTCACGTGGGACAAATGCGACAGCATCGGTCTTACGTAAGACAAATGTGCTCCGAGACAAATGTGCTCCTACAGAGCACCAAAAGGTATATTTCACGAGTGGCGCAGCCACGAGTGAAATATAAACTTTTGGTGTTCACGAGGTGAAATATATTTCGATCTTACATTAAACTTAACAAATTTTCTTTTTGTTATATGCAAGGAAACATTTAAAAAGACATTTTAACCTAGTACTAAATGAAAAGGGCGCCAAATAATAATACAACGTGACGTCATTTACGACGTCACGTCATTAAGTTGGTTTCCAGTACTGTAAACGCTTGTATTTCACTGAAACAACGTAACGGGCTCTAATATTCAAAACAGTGAAATTATCAAATTGATAATTTCACTGTTTAAAACAGTGAAATTATCAGTTTTTATCTCACTGATATATTTCTATAAACTATCGAAAAGCATGTAATAAATAAACATTTTCTATGTAAATCCTGGACTTAAAATTGTTTGATAAAAATACTTTATGCACGTTTTGGAAAATGTAGAAGAAATGTTTCCATATACTTACCGAAACATCAACCGAAAATTTGCTTATTGAATTTTACAAGAAACTTTTTATTTTGATACTACTTTTAACATATATATTAATATTATCATTTATTTTAAATTTAGTAATAGAAAGATCATCGAAACATGAGGCTATCTGATGTGTATGAGGGCGTAGCCCCCAAGTATTAATCAGATTGCCGAGTGTTTTGATGTTCTTTCTCTTTTGTATCATAGTCAAACATAAAACACATTCCCTGTTGTCACAATATGAAACCCCAGAAAAAAAGGAACCAATGAACGAGCATCTGAATATGATATTTCAGTCGCTTTCCCTTTCTCTGCCGTCACAATAAGTAAACCCCAGCAAAAATGAGCCAATCAATGGGCATGCTCTGGAGTGCGGGTAACTGATACCTGCACTCCAGTTAACGCACTGTACATGTAAATGTATATGATTTAACTCTGACACATTTTCAACAACTATGATACAAGTTCTCTTTGTAGAACAGGTATCCCTTTATGCGCCAAGAAAAAGGTCCTTTTCTCCGGCATAATAATCATTCAAAACATTTTTAAAAAATGAAGTGTAAAACAAACTTTCATTATGATATTTAATAAATTCTATTTTGTTAAATAATTGTAATTTATAAAAAATATCCCCAAATATTTTCGAACCACAGCAGCAAAAAGACCTCTCGCATGCTTCTTTTTAAAGAAGCAAACTTGTTTTACTTCCGGGCATCTGTGTTACAGTTGGTTAGCGAGGTTGCCTGTGTGTACTTTCACGTCAATGATTGCGACCTCTATTATGGCATGTTAACCCATTACGCGATATACACGCCTTTAAACGCATTTTTCACCCCCGCCTTTTTGTTGTCTCAAATGGGGAAAAAATGCCTTATTTAGGCCCCCAACACTTGTTGACCACTTTTTCGGCGCGGCCCCCTAACCAAAAGATACATCAGGGGTTTGCCAGATGGGGAATGTGCCCCCTTCTGTTTGGGGGTTTGAAAGGGGGCGGGATGCAGTCCCCCTCATCGCCAAGAAAATTTTGCACTTGTGAGAGGCTAAAAATGACCCCAGATATTACATAAGGTAACATGTAACCAACGCTGAAAAGCATTTGACTCTATCTCAATCCATTGAGAAGTTACAGCACTTTGAAATCAATTTTGATGGAAAATATCAACGCAAAATAGTTATTTATGGCAATTTTGAGATGTCCCATCGTTGCCATGGTAACAGAAAATTTAAGCCTGAGCATGTTTTTGCAAAGGCAATGACCCAGTCAACATTTGTGCCAAGTTTGAT